CCTCATTCTCCCCCTTTTCCCTCCCCTTTTTCCCCCCATATTTTCCCCATTTTCTCTTCTTTTTCTCTCATTTTCCCCCCGATTTTTCCCCCATTTTTTCCCCGATTTTCCCCCATTTTTTCCCCCATTTTCCCCCCGATTTTTCCCCATTTCCCCCCCGATTTTTCCCCATTTTCTCCCCCGATTTTCCCCCATCCCCACCCTCACTCTCTGCCCTCTCTCTGTCCCCACAGTGGATGGCAAATCCCGGGATTCTGTTCGTGCTTTCACCCGGATGTTCATTGCAGTTCCAGCCGGGAACAGCGGGTGAGCCCCAGCCCTCCCCTAAATCCTCTTTTTTTCCCCTAAATCCTCTTTTTCCCCCCCTAAATCCTCTTTTTCCCCCCCAAAAATCTCAATTTTTTCCCCTCTAAATCCTGATTTTTCCTCTCCAAACCCCAATTTCTTCTCCTAAATCCTCTTTTTTTTTTCCGCCCCGAGCCTCGATTTATTTTTTCCCCATAAATCCTCATTTTTTCCCCCAAACCCCGATTATTTTCCCCTAAGTCCCCATATTTTTCCCCTGAATCCCAATTTTATCCCCCAAATCCTGGGTTTTCCCCCTGAAATCCCATTTTTTCCCTCTTTTTCTCCCCCCAAACCCCTATTTTCCCCCCAAACCCCCAAATTTTCCCCCCAAACCCCAATTTTTTCCCCTAAATCCTTATTCCCCACCTGAATCCCATTTTTTTTCTCTTTTTCCCTCGGAAAACACCAATTTTCGTCCTCAAAACCCCAAATTTTCCCCCCAAACCCCGATTTCCCCCCCCATTTCCCCCCCGAAAACCCCAAATTCTCCCCCAAAACCCCCATTTTTCCCCCAATATCTCATTTTTTTCCCCATATCCCATTTTTCCTCCAAACCCCCATTTTTTCCCCCCATATCTTTTTTCCCCCCACCCCCCATTTTTCCCCTCATATCCCATTTTCACCGCACATCCCATTTTTCCCCCATATCTCATTTTTTCCCCCATATCTCCTTTTTTCCCCCACCCCCCATTTTTCCCCCCCAACCCCATTTTCCCCCCCCAACCCCATTTCATTCCCACCCTGAAAAATCCTCCAAAGAATCTGAAATCTCCCCAAAAACCATCCCGAAAATCATCCCAAAATTCATCCTGAAAACCCTGAAAATTACTCCCCCAAAAAAATCCCAAAAACCCCTGAAAACCCCCCTGAAAAGTGCACAAAAATGCTCTGAACATCACTGAAAAATCGCTGAAAATATTCCAAAAATCATCCTGGAAAATCCTCCAAAAATCTCTGAAATCTCCCTGAAAACCATCCCAAAAACCACCCAAAAATCATCCTGAAAACCCTGAAAATTAATGTGAAAAAAATCCCCAAAAACCTGAAAACCCGCCTGAAAAGCGAGCAAAAAGCGCTCCGAGCATCCCTGAAAAATCGCTGAAAAATCGCTGAAAATATTCCAAATATCATCCTGGAAAATCCTCCAAAAATCTCTGAAATCTCCCCGAAAACCATCCCAAAAATCATCCCAAAAATCATCCCAAAAATTATCCCGAAAACCCTGAAAATTCATATGAAAAAAATCCCCCAAAAACCCGCCTGAAAAGAGCGCAAAAAGCGCTCCGAGCATTGCTGAAAAATCGCTGAAAAATCGCTGAAAAATCGATGAAAACCCTCCAAAAATCACCCTGAAAAATCCTCCAAAATCTCTGAAATCTCCTTGAAAACCATACCAAAAACCATCCCAAAAATCATCCTCAAAACCCTGAAAATCACTCCCCAAAAAAATCCCAAAAACCCCTGAAAACCGGCTCGAAAATCGCACAAAAACTGCTCCGAACTTGGGTAAAAAATCGGTGAAAATATTCCAGAAATCATCCTGGAAAATCCTCCAAAAATCTCTGAAATCTCCCCGAAAATCATCCTGAAAACCCTGAAAATTATTCCCAAAAAAAAATCCCAAAAAACCTGAAAACCCCCCTGAAAAGTGCGCAAAAATGCTCTGAACATCACTGAAAAATCGCTGAAAATATTCCAGAAATCATCCTGGAAANCCCAAAAAACCTGAAAACCCCCCTGAAAAGTGCGCAAAAATGCTCTGAACATCACTGAAAAATCGCTGAAAATATTCCAGAAATCATCCTGGAAAATCCTCCAAAAATCTCTGAAATCTCCCTGAAAACCATCCCGAAAATCATCCTGAAAACCCTGAAAAATTACTCCCCAAAAAAGTCCCAAAAAAACCTGAAAACCCGCATGAAAAGCGTGCAAAAAGCACTTCGAACATTGCTGAAAAATCGGTGAAAAATCGCTGAAAATATTCCAAAGATCATCCTGAAAAATCCTCCAAAAATCTCTGAAATCTCCCTGAAAATCATCCCAAAAATCATCCCGAAAACCCTGAAAATTACTCCCCAAAAAAATCCCCAAAAAAACCTGAAAACCTGCCTGAGAAAGGCGCAAAAACTGCTCCGAACATGGGTAAAAAATCGGTGAAAATATTCCAGAAATCATCCTGGAAAATCCTCCAAAAATCTCTGAAATCTCCCCAAAACCATCCCAAAAATCATCCTGAAAACCCTGAAAATTAATATGAAAAAAATCCCCAAAAAACCCGAAAACCCGCCTGAGAAATGCACAAAAAACGCTCCGAACATGGCTGAAAAATCG